ATATATATATATATATATATATATATATATAATTTTCCAACATATAGATTTTAAACTATTATTTGATTTCATGATGTCCATAGAAGAGTGTTAAAGTCTGTTACTCTTTCATACCCGTAAGCTGCATCGACGCTCAGATTTCCTCCATTAAAATCCCGTTCCCAATCTGTCGGAGCAATCAAGGGTTTCCCATTTTCCGGGCGATCCAAATTTCCGTTTTTTTGTTCGATCTTCTTCTTCTCAAAGACGCCCAGAGCTTGCTTCTCCTGCAAATCGGATCCCGCCACCATGCCTCGCAGCCATACCTCGGAGGACTCCGATTCCAGCCCCAGCGCTTCCAGCTCCTCTTCCGGCGACGAGAGTCTGGCCATTACCGGCCAGATGCAGAGGACGGATCCCAACCCTGATCCCGAATCCCCTAACGCCGCCCACCAGTCCTCCGACGAGACCGGCAGCAGCGACGGCGTGCTGGTGGAGCTCCCCAGCAATAACGACCAGGTAGAAGTTAATTTCTCGTCTCTTTTCGCTACTGTTGAGAGAGAGGAAAGTTGTCTTCTTTCTTTCTCCTGACAGCGGGCGAACGCAGGATTCCAGGAGCTTGCACGGGGAGCCTGATAGCGGTGTTCTGGTAAACATCGATGGGTCGATGCAGGAGCATCAAGAGAGGGAAGATCTGTTCGTCGACGCTTCCGATCATGTCGGACGGAGTCCAAAGCTCGGGGAGTCGGCGGCGATGGTGGAGGTAGGGGAGACCTCACGGAGCAGAAGATTAAGAGAGCAAGATTTGGAACGCCTCCAGGCTCGGCTGGATGCATCATCCGCCGAATGCCGTATGCCTAAGGTGAGAAATCAATCTGTCATTCTAAAGTTGGAATTTTTGGGGGGGGAAATGTCATTTTTGGAACTATGGTTGATGATGCTGTGATGCAGGAGGAAAGGGAGGTTTTTGGAAGGGAAGTGTCAGCAGTTTCTTAACAGGGAGGAGGTGGTGGGTTCTTTTCAGAGGCTGGAGAACAGACAACAGGAGCACGATCTTTCTTCTCCAACCTCTCTGCAATCCATGGTAAAGGACTGTTCCAGATTTGTGGTTCATCTAAAGGGTGTTTTAGATGATCGGCTGAACACTGACGGGGCTTTGCTCAACACTAAAGATCAGGAGGTTGAGGTTCTGAACTCAAAGCTTATAGAATATGATGTTTTTCGAGATGTTTTGATTTCTTACCTTGGGGCAGTTAGGGGAGATTGTTCACAGACAGTGCATGAATACATAAATTCGATCAAAATCAGACTTTTAGCTTCAATTCCAGCAATGAATGGGGCAGAGAGTGTGTCCTCCTCCTCCTCCGAGGAGTTTTTCGATGGTATATCTCTGATCGAGAGGAGAACCATGCTTTTACTCGAGAGACACAACAAGTTATTACTAGAGGTTGAGCAACTCGGTCGGTTTGTGGAAGAGATAAAACCTGGCTATTTAGCCACACAAAAAAATGAGCCAGGCTCAGTTTTCACCATAGCTCAGCAACTGTTGCATGAAAGCAAGAAGAAGGAAGGGGAGCTTGAAGAGAGAATTAGAGAGCTTGAAGAACTAAACATGAAAATGGATGAGCAAATTACTTGCTTGAATAAAGACAAGGAAGATGCAGATACTGAGATGAGCAAAATCAGGACAGAATTGGAGCAGTCAGAGAGCCGGCTTTTGGCAGCGAAAGAGAAACTTAGCATTGCAGTGACGAAGGGTAAGCAATTGGTTCAACACCGCGATTCGCTAAAGCAATCATTGTCTGAGAAGACGATGGAGCTCGATAAGTGTTTGCACGAGTTGCAGCAGAAAGCTAATGCCTTGGAAACCATGGAGGCTCGTAACGAAGAACTGAAGCAGTCGTTACAAGAGAAGACGATTGAGCTCGACAAATGTTTGCTGGAGCTGCAACTGAAATCCGATGCTTTTAATATGGAAAATAGAAATTCCGAGGAGTTAAAGCAGCTGTTAGCTGAGAACAAAGA